GAACAAGGAAGTATAAAACAAAACATAAGCGTAAATATAAAAAGATTTGTATGGTGGCTACGACCGCTCCGCAGTTCAATAAGTAAGGAGTGTAGTTAGGATATGCTTACCACAATGGAAAAGACGGTTAAAGTCAAATGTGTGGCGGCACATAAAAAACACATTTCCAGCAAGTAAAGTTCGGCTTCACATGTCCGTTTATTTCTTTCAGCAAGGTGAAGAGGGTCTTCGAATCCTTAAAAGAAATAAAGAAATCACCAGCCATGGCGACAATAAGTACACAACACACTAATTTGTTGCAAAGGATCAAAATGTGAACGTTCTATACCATTGGTAGCAGCTTACTTAATGCCTATGTAATAAATGCTACCAAGTGTATGAGTGCTCACTTGACGTATAAACATATAAATTGTGCATCGATCTTAGTATCGTCTAATAAAATAGTGTGGCATTTGCGTGTGATTTGATACGCACATTCGTCTATTGTGTATTGCAATTGCAAGTGTAAGCAAAAAATAATTTTATGAACATACGTTCAAAGCCTTTTGTGCTTTTCACTTATCATAAATATTGGTCTGTATGAAAATAATACAACACATTTGCTGGCATTTGAGTGTCATATAAAAAACGAGTTCAACATGAAAGAAGCACATCTATCCCTTTTACGCTAGGTAAACTAGATTTACACTCCAATTTCCAACAATTATATTTCTAAAGTAAAAAATATATCTACATTTACAGTCCGATTTCCAACAATTATATTTCAAAAGTAAAAATATATTGCCGCAGCACTCATTACAAATAAGTTTACATATGACTTGTACTTTCAAAGCAAAATAATTTTTGGACTTTTAACCAAATAAGTAGCTCGACTGGAGTTTCAATTTAAATACACACTGTCCATAGGGCATATTAACTTTTATATACAAAAGCTTATTTTATGTTTATTTACAAGTATTATTTTGTTGAAAATTTATTCACAAATGTGTTTATGTGATGTTTTTATCTCACATTACATATGGACGTAACTGAATACTCGTTATAACAATGGCAACGAAGAATAATTAACCGAATTCTAAAATGACTGCAATGTTTATATTGTCGAAACTCTTATTCAGCGGTTTTAATAAAATATTATAAATTATAAATAAATATTATATATAGCATTACTATTCTTTATATGACCGAATACTTATATGCGCCATTGAAACACAACAACATGTTTAACAATACTGAGAGAAACCTATCCTGGTTTTTATGAAAATTATAACGGGAAGCATCGAATATCAGTAAACAAGTTTAATAACATAATGTTATCAGAACTTAACATCTCTAAATTTATCTATTACATTTTTTAGAATGAGTGCAAAAAACTGCATAGTAGATACCCACGAAACAAATTATTATGAAACATTTTCAATTCTGAAAGTGATTGCTACCGGTTAGAAACATCAGTTTAGAAACATCAGGTTGAATTATATTATGTAATTTTCTTTATATGGAAGATTACACCCGAGCATACGGTAATAGCGAATTAGTGCCCGGTAAAAAGGTTCCCACCCACGTTGCTTCTCATTTTGTCAGCTACTGATTTGGTTACATATGATTTCTGAGACAAACATATGGGTATTTTCGGACAATACTAATAGATATTTTACTCAAAAATTGCATAAAGCAGGAAGTATTTTTCACATTGACATTAGGGCGAAATTCAATTGAAACCCTGTGCGGATTCAGTTACTTGCTGTAGATAAAGGAGAACTGATTTTCGTGAAAGATCAAGTAAGCAATACGCCGTTGCAAGATGTCTGGTGCTGAAAGTATTTAAGAAGTTTCCGAAGTGCATGAATTGTATATAATAAACCGCAATCAGCTAGTGGTTCAATGATTCTTTTCAACGCAAACTGGACGCTGATACGCATAGGTTGCATTCTGGCTACAAATCCGTATTTACTCATTCGTCAGGATAATGCATTATTTCGAATATCCTTTCGCCTCGGTTTATTCGCCACATATTCCTATTATCTATCTTTTTGAACACTTGCTGTTTTATCTGGTTTTGGGTTCATCCCTTTTAGGCTTAGCCTTTTGCGCTTGAAAAGAAATTTTGAATACCTTCATATTTTGCAATGTGTTCTCATATCATTTACGAATGGTTGCATAGCTATCCATTTCTTGACCTTTTCAATTTTTTCTATCATGCATTTGAAAACAACACTGCTGGTTTTCGGTTTTGTTTATCTCAGATATGCACAAGTAATGATCATGTGGTAATGTTGACCATTCATCAATTTTATAAGAGTGGTTCCTATTTAAATCGAGTTTTATGAATTAGTCGTTGTACAAAAAATAACGATAATAAACACATCTTCCTTCACAGCAAAGTATTAATGTCAAATTAATTATATAAATATATACATATGAATAAATTTGGAACATTTTACTTGAAAACAAATACATCCATACCCATATAAAATAAGGATCTTCTAATCGTGACTGGAATATTTTAAAAACTGTATTCACAGTGTTAGTGTCGAAATGTCAATCTCGAGCATCTTATAGATACAACAATAAAATATTTCCGTATAACATGAATAGTATCTTCTAAAGGCTTTGTGGTTTTGTGCACAAACAACCAGTCATAAGAGATTGAAGTAAAACTTCTCTGAGATAGAAGAATTATTTTCTTGGTTTTCTGCAATAAAAAAGAGAACCCATTTCCGGTAAAACCAACTCAACAAATGTAAAAGGATATTCACATGTTACTGCGAGCGCGGTTGGTACCAATAAATCAATGGAACAAATTCTTTGTATTCTTGTGCAATACATATAAGATATTTTTGCAAAATATGCACCAATAATATTAACAACAAATAATTAAATATAAAGCCGATGCATGCGGTTTTGATTTGTGCCCAACGAACAATGCTGGTTTGCTGATCAGTAATCACCTATTGCCAACCATGCTGCACTGGATGGCAATCAAGGCACGCCTTTGGTTTCTTCTTATATTTTTGAAACGAATAGCGTAAAGCGTTAAAAGCGAAAGTGAAATTCAAATAACACGAGGAACCCACAAATATGTGGAAGTAAATTATTGTTTTGTGAATGTATAAATAAAAGTGAAATTTCCGGTATTCAGAGTAAATATAAATAACACGACCTTAATCGAAGTGAAATCAATGAAAATGAAAACTAGAAGCAAATGCAAAGAAAATAGGAGGACATTAATCGGTGGTTATCAAATTGCACAAGCGCAACGGGAAGTCTGTAAAATTTGAAAGTTGATCGTTGACGACAGGAGAGGGAACAATAAAATCGAACACGTATATTTGTGGAACTCATGTTTAATAGAGAAAATCTTTACTATCTAATTTACTTGTATGTATCTATGTAATAATTTAATCGGGCATATTGCTAAAATTTTATATTTTGAATTGAAAGGCAAATACTATTGCGTATATATTTTATCTCTTTATAGATTAGTCAAATTCGCTAAAAGAGATCAAAATAACTGACCAGTTTAAAGAAAATGTTTGTACTTTAAAACCATGTCAATAAGAAATGACATTATTGAAACATTAGAAACATGGCGGAGCATAGCTAATTTTTGAGTAAATAAATTAATTTCAAATACCAGGGCAAAAATAGAACAGTTGATAATCTGACCCCACTTACGATTTCACAGTTATTCTTAGACAGTTGTACCCCTTTAACGATTTTGGATTCCTCGAAATATTTTTCTGATAAAAATTAAATATATAAATACCATATGTAAGTAAATATTGCAATATAAAAAGTTATCGACGATAACTACTTAAAAATTCAACACTTGCTAATAACTAAGATCATCTTAACAAAATTTTGGTAAATAAACATAAACAAATACATACATATAGGTAAATATATAGAAACTATCCATTTTGATAACATCCCATGTACTTTGCATATGAGCTAAAATTATATTCTTAGTATGTTCCAAAACGAATAAGATAACTCTTATCCTCAAATTCATAAATTTAACCACTTCATGTTTTAATTGGTCAACAATACTTTTACTAAAGCCGGAAGTCATTAACAAATAATGAATCAAAAATCAAAAGTAAATGGTAAATGGTAACGCTGTAACTATGTATTTATGTATGTGTAATAACTTTTCGAAAATCATTTAGTAATTCAAGAGTGTGAAGTGACAGTCAGATATAAAATACTCGATACAGTTGGATCTAAAATCTCATCATGCTATTTTCGCATATCTCGCACTGCGTAGATGGATTCGTGCTTTGTTAATTTTTTTATAGATTAATTGAGTTGAGTCAGTGAAAAATCATTTGCGAAGGTGAACATTTTCATATTTAATTTTAAGTAAGTGTCATAAAGATACGTGCTTTCCCAAAGGACAACTACGGTAAACGGGTATGAAGAAGCACTTTATGTCAAATATGTGAGTATTCAAAAAAATGATCACATGATATAATAAAAGATATAAAAGACGTAATTCCAAACTCTACTCTTTGAAGTTAGCGACGATTGTTAATTTTCAGGCTTTAAAAATTATTGTCCATCAGAATAATGAAATAGTACATTCATGTATCAGCATTCGCTAATTGTGGTGGGATCGGAAATTATTGAAGGAGTGTTACATCACGTAAAGAATTTGCCGTTTAAATAGACACATTGTAGAATTCCAAGTGTTAATAGTTAAACTGTAAAGTAACTGGTTCAGAGCTCAAATCACCAAAAATAAATCAATATGAAAATTACGGTCAATGTTATAAATGCTTAAATAATCGTTTTTAGTAAGCTTAATTTATATATGTTTTTCAAATAAACTGGCTAGGACTAGAGCATTACCCTTATACAAGTATGTTTAAAAATCATCCAATTTGTAAACGCTTGGACGCTTGGAAGAGCGGTCAATTGCTTAAAAAAACTTTATTAATTCGTAAAAACGTTTATTATTAATAAAACTAATAATTTAAAAAATATATAAGTATATTTATTATAGATGGATATGCGATTTTGACCAATAATAAATATTATATTTAATACTAATTTCGGTACCTATACGAGTAGAAATACTATATATTCATAGGGTTTCACTGCATTTTCGATTTGTTGGTGACAAAGGGATTCGAACTTTAGGTCCAAAACTGCTCTTTGTTTCAGATAAGTGACGATAGCGATGCAATTCCCGAAGCTCATCACAACGCTTAGCTTTAAGTAATCCAAAATTTGTCTGATTGCCATAACTTAGAGTAAGGTCTTCTTTCGGGTTCTTTTTTAACATCCAATCGTTCCCCCCCAACAAACCTCGTGATGTTTCTGGTAAAATTCGATACTGAAGATCTGTCATTGTCGTCATATTATGCAGAAATATATCATTACACTGTTGTATATTTGTTTCTTTGTTTTTCATTTTGTTTCGAAAACGTATTATCTTAACATTTATAAAATCGTCTGCACCTCTTGGATCGTCTTTTTTAACGGGTTGTACATAGTCGCTTTTATACGTAGTTTTTCCACCGATACATCCACTGTAACCATAAATGCCTGGTGTTATGGCGTGAATGTCGTTTTGTAGACCACTCATACGCTCTTGGAACCAATTGCCTATCAACACTTCGGGACTGTAGATAGTGCAAATTAGGTACTTTTTGTTCTTACTCTTCTGATTGTATGCCATTCAATACAAACGTAATGTACATATGTATGTACATACGAATATAAATATTCGCGAATTTTAAGGTTTTATTGTCTGTAGGTATCCTTGCTTACTACAAAACTACTGAAATCTTCCAAAATAATATATCCGTTGCAAAATCAATTTTCGGAACTTCTGAAGTTTATATATATGTAAATTAGATTTAACAAATAAACAATAAATATTTTGGAAATTGTGACAGGTGATTTTTGGCATACTTTCTTCAAAATATATTCGTTTGTAGGATAGCTAAAATATGTAAGACTGCTATCAGAGTTGTGAATAAACTAGGGCTCTTAAAATTATTGGAATAACCCGAAACCGATTATTCGAATATCTGGTTTGTAACCGTTCGTACGAATGTTAATAGTACTATTCGAATAATCGTTCAACTGCGACTGTTCAAATAGTTGCCCTGCTGCGAAAATTCGACAACTTACGACTATCCGGTTAGTGCAAACCGAATATTATTATTCGAATAATGCCCTGTCCGGTTAATAGCTTAAACACAATACGGGTGACGACAAATATTCGTCGTACTCGCTGACGCTGTCGGATGGATTTTCGCCGAGTGTTGCCGCCGTGTAAAACACAACACGGACGATTTTCGTCGCAGCTAGTGTATATTCACCGCTCAAAAATATCACAATAAATGACGAAACCAAGCATGAGGAATCTTAATATAGCCAACGCAGACATTTTCTTACATTTTTTTTTGAAAATCCTTAATATTTTTACTGAAAATAATCTTTCTTTGATATGGTTATGCTCTTGTTCGTTAGAGCCACACTATATACATCATATTTCTCAGATGTACATACATACGATCGAGAACGGAATATTATTGGCATAACGTCACTCAAAGCTGACTGCAATATTACCGATCCAATTAGTTGCAAGTAATAATATTAAAAAATGCTTGTTTGCTTTGAAACGGCTCTATAACTAACAAAGTGATTAAAATAATTTATGAAAAAAATATAACGGTTCCAAAAAAGGAAACCTCAAAAACTAACACTATATGCTAAGCGTGTTTAAGGATTAACAAAGTCAAAGGTACTGGACCGGCAAACAAGCTGATAGGGAGCCCCTATGCAAGTAGCTTATCCAAAGTGACAACACTCACAAGTAATGAATCAGTACCAATGCTAGACAGGCTAATCAGAGACGTATTGTTTGGCGATTAAAGCTATCCATGAAATTCAGTATTCACATAAAATGAACTAATGTTTTTTTGTGTGTTTTAAAAAGTATCGCATTACCATATGAATATACAGTTAATACTATGGGTGACTCCACATAGTAACAAAAGTTGATGATGGTTTACTACTGTAGGGAAAATACATATACGCATATATGTATGTACATATGTAGATAAAAATGTCAACGTGCTGTCATCGTATGGTGCCTAGCTCGCAAATTTTGACACTTCGTAACAAATGTCAACGCGCACATTAACAAGTAACAAAATTTAAAAAAATATGACTTCATACCTTTGAGAGTATGTTTAGAGTTTCTGTAGTTTTCTAAGTTTTTTTTTTTTTTTTGAATATGAACATGAAACAGTTTTCTTTATGTCAGCGCTAGTTATATCAAATACTAATTGGCTTTGAAAGATTGTTGACATGTGACATTTATACTGAGCCTGAAGACCATGAACAACTTACTCACATTAAGTTAAGTTTGTAGGTACATATGTACATACGTATATATAATATTTTCCATTATTATGCATTGAAAATAAATATTTTTTGCATGTACTGTGTGTTCTGCTTTGATTGTCTCACCGTTACTTACTCAATTATGTATGCATTTTATTATAATTTACTTAACAAAATTCTTATATGAATTATTATACTCAAATGTAATTTTTGTTTTAAACTTTTAACTTATTTCGTACTAGCTTTTCCCGCAGTTCAGCTCGCTTTGAAGCTCTTAAATAAATATCAAAGATTATTAACCAAAACAATAATCTCGATCCATAATATGTACACGAATACTATACCGCGATGGTCGTCTGGTGGTGGTGGTGGTAATCAGAAAGCCCCAATTTCTCCCATTTACGCTTTTCATGCATTTTTGTTTTGTTCCATTTTGAAAATTTTCGACAAAAAATCATATCTGCCAAAATAATTTTTTTTTAAGTTTCAAAACTTCAGATTTATTTTACAAACAGATATGATCCTCCAAAATAATTTTTTTCATAATCCGTAAAAAGTGTATAGTAAATATCCTATGTCAATAGAATTTAATAATATAATAATAATATATAATATTATATATAACCGCTTTTTTTATGGAAATGCCACTGCTACAAGGTACCTTTTTTATACTATTTGTCGGATAAAGCGATGTTCCGGCAAACATTTTACTGTAAATAATATAATATAATATTCAAACTTCCTTAAAAATATTTTTGGCAAAAATTTTAAGCAAATATCGTCCCCTTTTTGTGAAATTATCGTATTGCCAGTTTTTACGAAATTGAGTTTTTGATGCAAGGTTGTTTTAAAGTTACCGATTTATCAACTGGGAAATATTATAATGATATTCTCTGTAGTTAGAAATATATGAGAATGGTACCAGATATGAATACTGATTTTTATGGGGAGAGCAAGACGGTAAACAGGATGCAATGAAATATCTTCGGCTCTCTATAAATATCTGGCAAACGATATTGTAGATAGTAGAGCATAGTTGACGAAATAAGCCCATATTGCGATAGTTGCCTGGCCAAAAACGGAACAAAGCTGTTTTAGCAATGATGGAAAAAAAATTTTATATTTTCATGTATTATAAAAGAAATTATAATCTGTTTTTACAAAAGTGTGTTATCATGATGCTCGTAAAATCGGGACTTAGATAAAATTCAAGGGAATGGCCCACAATAATACACGATACTCGCCCCAATCCAAATACGTGCACTCTTTAACAGCTAAGCCAAACACCTAAAGTTAACCACAATAGAAATTATGAAAAGCGAATAGCAAGCTTACATATATATAAGTATGTACATATATACACACAAATAAGTCCACTTAAGCTACCAACAAACACTTCCAAATAATATTTCGATGGGTATGGAAACTATATAAAACATACATACCATATACATGTATGATGAGATAGCTTGCAAAGACACACATGCATATATACTCATATACGTTTATAAATAGTACTTTTTGCTACTGTCCGAACGAGTTCGCAAAAAGATCCACCGCAATGTGATTACTCGATAATAGCACAGTATAAGCTGGAAATTTCGCTACCTAAATTAGTGACTATGCGCAAAGTGCAGTGGCCGACCCCATGATAAGCCCAAAGTCCTTGATCTTCAAACCACGCGCATCAATGCTACGTTGCAGCGATTTCATCTAAAGTCGATATGCTACGCGACGCCCGTCCTTTGCAAACGAGCATTCAGTGAGCGCTTATACTGAAATTGATTTAGCCCCCTAGCTGTAGCACAGCTTCTGGCCTTATCGCTGATAACGCAGAACTCTTGCTCGTCAACACTGGTTCCAATAAAAACATTTTATTTCATTCTATTTAGATGTTTACCACACCTCCAACTCACACGTATTTTTTCGTAAGCTTTATTTTTTTGTTTACTTTCAATTATACTCTTGGGCGCAATTAAATTTAGCAATTTGGTTACAAAATTCGTTGTATAAATGCTTTCACGAGACTGATAAGCGGTAAAGAATTACATCTAGTAATTTTTACGCCACGTCAGAATTGAGGCGATTCCATTGAACGGGGTAACTGTAATGTTTACAAATATTAGTTTTACAAATATTCTTTCTAAAGCTTCTTGGAAATCATGTAATAATGAAGCCTATGTTAGAGTCAAAGGCCTTAACATCTTTCAGGAACCCAATTCATACACATATAATAATATAATATTCATACATATATATAATACTGCTCTGAATTGTTTAAATTTCAGAAAAATAACTGAACAATTTTCATTTCGTTAGTCACTTAGTCTGCTACAATCTAACTGATTGGTTTCTAAATCAGAAATAAAAATTGGTGTAGGTATACTTACATAAGTACCGAAAAGGTTTATTTACAGTCCATTCCAAACCATGCCTCTGCTGACACTTTTTAGCACATTCGCTCTTATGACTTTGTAAACGTTTCCATTTTTGTTATTATTGAAACAAAATTCAATGGCCAACCGGTTAACTGTTCATTACCTATTATATCGGTGAGAAAACTGTTATTTTTATATTAAACATATATGTATATGTACATATGTGCCTTTAAAGAACATAGATAAAAAATCATCTGGTGAAAAACAGAAAAGCAAAGAAAACACTTGGTACAGGAATAACGCGCTGAGACAGGAAGAAGTCTTAAATGCAACAGAACTGCCCATCATACAAATGGTTGATTGTTTCTTTCTTCGATTAGAAAAACATAACATTGCGAGGTAACTTCCTGTTTTCTTAACGACTAAAATATAATAGGGATTAAAATATTTCATTTTTTTCTAAACATCTCAATATTGTCTATTGTTTCTTTTATAGATTAAGAATGCAGAAATTGTACACCTTTCCATACAAAAAGTTCATATAGATACATTGTATATTTTATGAAAGGAAAGAGTATAATTCCAACAAGGCACAAACCAATTGATTCTATTTCTCCAAAATAACACATATTAGCAATGGAAAAATAAAATTTAACAATTTTCATTATAAGATAATTTAAAATCAAATTTATAGGAGACAAATTCTCGTTATGGTGATAAAAATGTTAATTGTTTTTATTATCGTATTCGCAAGGTGGACATACGTAACTACAAAAAAATATTTTTTTTTTTTTTCTCGAGTTGTGATTGGACTATATATGTACATAGTTGTACAACAACAAACTTTAATATCTAATAGTTAGAAAATATCTTATAATGTACTACAATTGCATAGTATGTATATCTCCAACGGATATTTATTAAATCTATCTTAGTTTAAATAGCATAAGACTAAATAAAGTTAAGAGTATACCATTCGTAAAAACTTGGGATCGAATTTGATCGAGATTTTTTTAATAAATTATAAATAATATTAAATACTTGTGATTAAGTACGATGTGAGTGGTAACATCATTTATACGCCCTCTCCTTAAGTGACTAAATACATATGTATGTATATACGGTACTTACATTCTCAATCTACGATATACT